CATTTTGCTGGATTTTCTTCATTCTCACTCTGGCCTTGTGATAGGGAAAGAGGGACTTACTGTATTTTACTAATTCTTCCATGCATGTCTTACCGTCAGGGTTGTTCATTTTGGCCGTACAGCTGTAGAGCTGTGACTGATTTTATTTGAGGATGTTTTTTCAGGCATAAACTCCTCCCAAAGTAATTACCTTAACAGTTTAAGAAAGCAAGAACTTCCTTTGTGATTAATGATGTTCTGTTTATTTTATCTTAGATAATGTAATACAATCGTTCAGCATGTCTTTCATACATGTGTAACCAAGTGTTACCAGGTGTATGATGATTACTGGAGGATAATTAAGTAATTTCGCCTTTTGTAAAATGCGTTGTCAGTAATTCTAAAAATACCGTAGACGCCTAATAGCTGGGGAACAAACCACATCACCACTGCGTCCACAGTTCGACTTTTGACTGCTGCATATCTCTGTCCTCTACTGCTGTCAATTATCGCCCCCAAATTAATAAAAAACAATCCTATAACTGCATATGTTTTTCAAAAAGCAATTATTCATATGGACGTTTGTCAATAAATTAGTGCAGAAAACCAAAGCTCCAGATTATTTCAATTGTGTTTCACATCTTCCATTTGGTTTGAGTGTCAGAAATACTCATATAATATTCCTTTCCTCAGCTTTTGTTTGATATGTGATAGAAAAACACTATCTGTAAGAAGTGCTCTCAGAGTAAGCAGTACTTGGCCAAGGCCACTGCTCTGAAATTTTAAATAAAGTGATCTGGATCCACACCAAACTTTAATGGGTTCTTCCTTTGCCCGTGCTCCACCTCTCCACCACGCTTCATGAAATTCTGCGTTTGCGTAATCTTGCTGACAGGCAGACAAACAAACGGCAGTGAAAACATTCCTTCACCTCAGCCCTTACCTTGGCAGAGGAATAAACACTCGCCTGCATTCAGACCTCACTGCAGTCAGCTCGGTGAACTTATGGGTGTACTGCGAGTCACAGCGTGGACCTTTAGTACATATTCATGTGTATCAGTAGAGGGTGTGCCACGGTGCCACTGGAGCAACACATCAGGACATCACACCCTTTAACAGCTACTTTGTTTTCGCTCGTTTCTCCACAGCATCTCTGTGTTTAATCAGAAACAAGTCAGTTTGAACAGATGTCTTTTGATTTCAGGCTTTCCAGTAGTTTAAAACTGAACTACGCAAAAATGCCTTGGAAAAATCCTCGTTTTTATTATTTAACATTAGATAACCTCTACATGTACCTTTAATTGTACAGCAAAATGGATTTTCTGCTTTTATTGAACTCGCTGAATGCCCTCTGAATAGTTCTCTCACAAGTATCTGATGCTCATGTTTGCTCTTGCAGCTTGTACTAAACCTTTCACTTTGCTCTCTATAGGTGCAGTATGTAATCCAAGGCTATCACAAGAGGAGAGAGTACATCGCTGCTTTTCTTAGCCACTTTGGGATGTGAGTCAACTGTCACATACCACAGCCTTCACCGAAGCGATCACAGCATGTGTTCAGTGATAACTTGTTGCTGCCTTTGTCTTTTTTTTTTACAAGAGGATACATGAGTAAGATCATTGTGTGTATTCCAGGGGGGTGGTGGAGTACGATGCTGAGGGATTCACCAAGCTCACCCTTCTACTCATGTGGAAGGACTTCTGCTTCCTAGTGCACGGTAGGAGAGTCACGCACATAAAGTGGAATGTTGTGTGTCTGAGCTGCTGGGTTCACGTCTTCTTTTTGTCTGCTTTCCTATCCCTCTGCACCTCGTAGTGGATCTCCCGCTGTACTTCCCCAGAGACCAGCCCACCCTCACCTTCCAGTCTGTGTACCACTTCACCAACAGCGGCCAGCTCTACTCTCAGGTGCAGAAGTCGTATCCCTACAGCCCGCGCTGGGATGGAAACGAGATGGCCAAGAGGGCAAAGTATGTAAAAACCTGGCTCATTAAAATCTTGTGCATTCTGGTAGCCATGTGTTTTGTATCAAGCCTGAAGCCACAATTTCAACAAAACAAATCATACATTGAGAGTTTGGATGAAACACAGTGGACACCAGCCTGAGCAAGTCAAGCCTGCAGGTCTGTAAATTCCACGTTTTCCACAAAGTTGCTGTACAACTGTGTGTGAGCTGTCATTTATCAGTGTTTAACCTTAAGCATGATAGAGAAGGCCTCATTGTGTATCATACTATGTGGCACATAAGTCATTTATTGATATTGAGATTTGATCCAACCCTCAGTACACATAAACTGGCATGAACCCATTAGTGTAAATCTAGTGTTTGCTCTTTGTATGGCAGAGGTTAATAACTGCTGTAAATATTTGAAAGCTATGAGTGACCATAGAAGGCAATACATTATCCTTGTGATTTATGTATTGTTAGTGTGTGTTTTGTTCTGGTAGAGGAATATTGGCTCAGCAAAGTTTCAAGGAAAATTACTGTATGTCAGCCTGGGGCTGTTTCTCATAACTGTGGCTGTTTTGACTTTGCACTCGCCACCTACGTCGGAGAGACTGAGGAAACATATCCTCAACAGGACAGCGTCTATAGGTGCAAAAGCTTTAGGTCTTTACAAAGAAACAACCATTTTAGACACTTGTCTGGAGGTCAATTCATATTAGCATTCTTATCATTTAGGAGTGGCCTGGCCAGTCAGCCTGGCTAATTATCAGATCTATCGGCCTCTGTGTTCTATATGTTTTTAAATAGATTCCTGTGAAGTAATAAGAAAAAAAAAACAGTTTTATATATGCTGCTCTGGCTTTGATGAAGTTTCCTCTGCCTGTAATCACCATGCTGGAGCAATGTCCCGCCCACATCATGATCTGATTGGTTACATGTCTCGAGTTATTATTATTATTATTATTATTATTATTATTATTATTATTATTATTATTATTAATAATAATAATAATAGTAATAATAATAATAATGTTAATTACGTAATAATATTAATAATTTATATTTTATTGTTATTTTGTTAATTATATCACCTTTTAACTTTTTTCTTGTTACCATATTGGCTGCTGCAAAATCCATGCCAAACAGAATTTCGTTGAATTTCTCGTATGATGACAATAAAGCTTCTTTTTCTTATAACCTACCAGCACTGACACGCAAACATTAATAAACATGTAAGACATAAGTTGACAAAGGCAGCAGAGTTCTAAATTTTGACACCAAGATTTTCATTTTTAATACAAACTTTAATACAGAACTTATATTGCTTCCGGATGTCGGCCTTATTGGTTGCTAATAATCAGTGTCTGCCCTGTGAGAAGCACATCAGTCAACTCCTGGTAATTTTAGCATCGAGTGTTGATTTAGTTTTAGTCATCTGGTTTTTGTTATTTCAAGTTTTGTGTTCATCAGTGACGTTGCCGTCACGTCTTCTGAGCTTTTTGATATGCCGCTTTTGTGTACAGTTACCATGGTTACTGGCGTTATTCTCGTCTGTCGCAAGGTTAATGGAACAGTCTCAGCGTCCCTCTGCTCTGCTGTGATACAGCAGACGGACTCTCTATAGTAAATCCAGCAATCGTTCCCAGTCTCTGAACTCAGCTTTACCACTGTACCCACCTGCTCCCTCCACTACAGAGCAACAACTCACTCAGACGATTCACTTGCTGGTTGAACATTAATGTCACATAAATGTTGGCTGATGCCTTCATGTTTGTAGTTTTCTCAGCTGATTTGCTGCTGCTTCTTGTCTACTTCTCGTTGTAATTTGTAGATGAGTTTAGTTCATAAATCAGTTTTTTCAAAGAAGTGCAAACATCAAATAACAACAGTGACAAACACAGGATGTTACTGAATGTTGTTAATGGAAATGAGTGTTAAATCTAATCAACAAGAGGTTGCGGTGTGATTCCACATACAAAGCAGGTGACTGAAAAAGACTCAATTAAACCAGTATTAGTTATTTTGTCCATCTTTAACATTAACATGTAGTTTAGGAAAGTGTTTCATCATTGTTCATGTTTTCAAATGTTACTTTTTATTTATTTTTACATGTGTTTTCATCGTAAACAACCAATATTTTACATCGTTGTTCTCATTCATATAATTAACACTTCAAATTACACCCTTAGATATGCTTTATCTGCTAAATGAATGGCAATCTATTCACAGCACATCTGAACAGCTAACCAAGCTAACTGTTTGGTTAGCTAGCTACCAAGCTGTATATTCATGTGAGGTAATAACAAAGTGATGCTACGGTTATGTTGTAGTCAGCCTCAGTTCATAGGAGGGTTGCCCTTTTTCAAGTTTGGCCAAAAAACAGTGCCACACAAACCTCTGCAAAACCACAACTCTTCGCTTGAAACAAATAATGTACAGAATGTTGATCAGCAAACTTCAGAGGTGGACAAAGCCAGGTTAGCTGTGTCCCCATGTTTCCAGTCTTAATGTGAACCGGCTGCTGCTTCACAGAAAAGCTTCTGATTTAACAGATATGAGAGTGTTATTAATCTTCCCATCTAACTTTGGCACCGCAGATTTTTTCCTAAATCAGTTCAAGTCCAACCTGATGCAAACACATGTCAAGTTGTGGCTAAATACCTCGTGGAGTGTGGTTTATTTAGCCTCTTTGATTTTTTTGCCTGTAGTGGAGTTATGTTTCCTGTGTTTCCCTCCGCAGAGTTAACGTGTGGAGAGTCGTATCTTATGCTGAAGTGTGTTTTGGAGCGAGTAAACACATCCTGCCTTTCATGTGCACTTTGATACATGCTGAGGCTGGGACTGACCCAGTCAATTTGTTAGATGCTTTGAAGCATCTGAAACACAATTATTGTCACATTCTGATGTTTTATTAGCCATGCTTTCTCTCTCCCCCTCCTCTCTCTGTCTCCCTCTCTCTCTCACCCAGGGCATACTTCAAGAGCTTCATCCCTCAGTTCCAAGAGGGAGCCTTTGCCAACGGGAAACTCTAGTACTCTCTAACTTAATGACATGCCTGGAGAGCTGCCTGTGGGAGTGCGTATGTGAGTGTGTGTGTTTGTGTACCTGTACATCTGTATGCACAGACTTGTGAAATGTACTGTACTCTAGCAGTACAGTGAGAATGATGGTGTGCTTATTGCACAGACTCTGTGAATCCAACACTTTTTTTTTTTTACCTTGAACTGGTTGCCTCTTGGTCAGTACCTCCACTTCTTATTGTAGTCGTAGAGAGAAGCTGCTCTCCTGTAGAAGATTAGTTTTCCAGGCCGGGCAACACACTGCAGCCAAAAAAAACGGCTGTAATGATGATGACTATTGCCAGCACAGTTTAAGGCCTTTATTTTGAAGAAGAAACCTCCAAACTCTGACAGGACCTTGTGACAACCTATACTGTACAATTTGTGTTTTCCACCAATCAGTAACTGGTGTTGTTTTGTTGTGTTGTGCCAATGATGCCTGGCTTCAAGCAGTTAAACCCCAGAAGTTTGGACTCACAACACTCCATCCAGCGATACTGTGATGTGAACACACATGGACATCGCAAAGAGCTGTAGGGACGAAGCAAATTATCTTTGTTTACTGTTCGTTTGCCTTTGTCACTCACATGATTGTCACGTTTGGCTCCATTATCCTTGTTAAAATGATCTTTGACTTGCCTTTTAGTTGTTAAATGCTGTGTGTTTAATTTGTTTCAAGCCCTGTGAATTATTTTCCTGACATGCTGACAGTACTGTAAGCTACTGACGAATGTGTTTTGTCCAGTTTCTATTCAGTAAAAAAAATGTGTCTCCCCAGACAGTGTGTTGTTATTGGTCTACACTGTCATTTGTTGTTCAGAGATTACCCTCGAGAAAGTATAGATTGTTTAAATACACTGGAAAGATCTTTGGAAGTGTATCCTTCAGTGACTGGGTCTCCAAGTAACAGCAGGTCTGGTGTGGTGTGCAGCGATTAGTTCCTACCAAAAGTGGTCCAAGGATGGACAACTGATGAACAGGTGGCCGAGGCTCATCCCTGTCCACCACCAAAAGCACCTACAACGGGCACAAGCATCAAAACTGGAGCGTGGAGCAACGAAAGAAGGTGGCGTAGTCTGATAAAACACATTTTCCTGTTACATCATGTGGACAGCCGGATGTCTTGTTTACCTGGGAGAGAGATGCAGCAGGAGTACAGTGTACCGTGTGATGTTCTCGAATGTGTTGCAGTGACAAAGAGCTGGAGGTGTTGACTTGGCCTCAAGATCCCTACATCTCAATCTGGCTGAGCATCTGTGGGATGTGCTGGAAAAAAAAGTCCATGAAGCTTCCAGGACTTGTTTCCTGATACCACAGGACACATTCAGAGGTCTATGAAGTCCATACAAGGTACTAAGCAGGTACCATTTCCATTACATTTGGATTTTATTGCATTTAATCAGTCTATGGCTGATGTGAGATGTCCAGTTGTTTGGTCTTTAGGCCGTTTCTTAATTTTAAGTGGCAAGTTATATGTGTTGAAGCTTTCAAACAGGCATTTTTGACTTTATGTCTGTTGATGTGAGAGCTATTTACAATTTTAGACACTCAAAATGCAGATAATTACTTTGATAATTACAAAATGGAAATAAGGCAGCATCAGCTGTTTGGAGTCATGTAAGGCTGTTATCTATTGAGCACAGATGGTTTTGGGCAATAAATGTTAAAATATCTGAGGGGTTAAGTGAAACCTTTAAACAGCTGATAGCAGTGAAGGAACAAATTCATTCGGGTTCACTGAATACTTGTAGCAAATTTGATTAACATCCAGCAAAGCGGTGTGCTGACCAACCAGCATCTCCATCCTGAGAGTTACACCTGCAGCGTGGCCAAAAACAGAAGCTAGAGCCGTACTATAAATAACACGTTATTCATTATTTTTGTGCTGTCTTACTCACAAAGTTTAAAATGACTCTCTGTCCTCCAAATGTGTATAGGTGCACTTTCATGCGTACACCTCAGTAGCTGCGGTGCTTTTCCAACCCCTAGAGATGCTGTTGTTTTTTACAGACCCTCAGTGTGCTTGTGTAATACGGAGCCGCTGTGAGGATGAGTGTGTGTTTGTGTGTGTGCACATGCTCCTGCATGGGTGTGCACGTGTGTGTGCTTGACTGAGGCAGAGTGTGCGCCTGCTTGTTTTCATCATTAAATATGAGGGTCATAGTTAGGGGTCTTTCCTGGCCCAAGGCACAGCCTTTTGCTATATTTATTGTTGGTAATGCAGCAACTGTCAAGTCTAATTGAGAACTATAGGGTGAATGTATCTGGGGCATTTAATAGCATCAAGGCTCTTAATAAAATAATTAAAAAGCAAGATTCTTTTTGTCTTTTTCACTGCCCCGTTCCATGTTTCTTGCTCTAACCTTTCCCGACCTGCTTTCAAAACATCTCCGTTGTCAGCCGCGGGACGAGCTGCTCTCATTTTGGAGAGCTGGAGGGATGGGGGGGGGGTTCAAAGGAGGGGTAGCGGGATGATGGGTAGCATCTTTAATGAGCATGAGAAAAGAATAGTTTAACTTGACAGTCGGCTCTAGACGTCACGACTTTGCGCTCAAAAGGTACCAATTGATTTTCAATAGCGTTGGATCTCCGAGTGGGCTGAGCTCTGAGCCTGAACCCTCCCCTGCCAAATCTGAAATGATGCTTTACATTAGCTGAAACACAAAGACGGGCTGAATCATTAGCTTTAAATGGTAGCTTGAATCATTCCCGTGAATACAGACCATGACATTGCAGAAAGTAAAGTACCCCAACTTAGAATGAGAGCGAGCGTTCACTCCTGAAGTTTTCCTCAGCCGCTGATGTTGACCCGAGCTGACATAAGCCCTATAAGTAACTTGTAAACAATTCCTTCCATAGTGGCTTAAACTGTGTCACTGTTGCAATGCTTAAGTCACATTTAGTTAGCCTCCTCCCTCAAAAGTGTCTGCGCCTAAACATGGCTCACCTTTACACGCTTTAAGCAACTTAGCGTGGATTTACGTGGCGTTAATGATCCTGCGAAGGTGCTGCTAAAGGTACCTTTTGAAGATGTATTTCTCAGCCCCCTGAATCACAGTGCAGAGGTCTGCCAACCCTCCGAGCTAATACTCCAAATCCACTAATCCAGCCGTCTTTAAGAGATCTCAACAGCAGTCGGATGGAATAATTAAGGCTGGAATAATTAGCTTGGAATCTTTGGACGGGGGATGATTAAATTGATGAGGCTGGTTTTTTTGTGGCCTGGCTGGGTTCACGCTCTGCTGGACGGAGACTCGATTTGAGGAACGACTGAAGATGCAATGGTCATTTTCCCCCTCTGAGGCTGAAGGAGCAGTCGAGTGGTGTTTCCACTTTGTTTGAACCATTTTCTTCCTCTATTGTACGGCTCGAGGTGAGAAGAATTCCATCTCCGCCGCGGCCTTGCTGGTGGCAGGACATCTAAGCTAAACCAGCCTCAGTAATGAGTATCCAGTGGAGGGCCCGGCCTTGTTAACAGAGGTCTCTCTGTTCAGGAACAGGTGTCCTCAGCTCAAAGGAGCTGGCAAACATGAATATTAGCATTAGATTAACATTAACTGCACTGGTGACAACCCTATAAGCAGCGAGCTCGGAGGCTGTAAGGACCTGCCAGCCTGGAGAACTGACAAGTGTGTGAAACAGGATCACTTGAAGCTCAGCAACGAGCACCTTCCTGGGCAATAACCCAGAGCTAGCTGCTGGCATCACTCACCCCACTTCACCTCAGAAGTCGGGCTAGTCGCTGGAAACTTTTGAGGAGTTGGAAAGTATGTCGGACAAAGTCGCAGACGCGGGGAGCGTACATGCGAGAGTGACAACAGAAAAGGAGGGAAAGTGTGCGAGAGTGATTGAGAATCCTGAATCATCACCTCGTGAACCGAGACGGTAAATAGCCGAGGCCGAGGTAATCAGAGGGAAATAAGGAGCAGCCAAAAGGCCTGAATATGTCAGGGAGCGGTAAAGGCGGACAAGCGCCTTATTCCAGATTGTTTACTTCCCTCTCCTGTCACTGTGTCTGAATTGTCCAATCTGTCTGCCTCGCCTGATTCTTTTTTTCACCTTCGCTTTCTTTTTACTTCGCGTATCCCCCCCGCAAAAGACAAAAGACAAACAGGCGAGCGAAAGAAGACAAGAAGGAGGTGAAATCACAAACTGTGGTGACTGTGGGCTACTTTTGTGTTTTGTCTCTAAGTCCAAATTCAGAGTGACATACGGGGAGTTTTCTTCCCCCCCCACCCTCATCTTCAGCGTATTTGCTGGGAGGTGGGGGTTTGGAGAGGAGGGGTGGATTTCAGAGGCTATGCAGCATTTGCGATGCAGCGTAGGGTTGTTGATGCGAGCCATGTTGAGGATGATGGAGCTGAGAGGCTTAACTAATTTTGGAAAGAGAGAGCAGGAGGAGGAGAGCGGAGGGGGGATTTGGGGCCTTTTGTTACAGCCTGTTTGATCTGGGAATTTGAAAAAAAAAAATGGCCCAGAGATGTCGTGAAAATGAGAGAATTACTGCTTGGGTCCCTCACTCTTCTTTTTTTATCAAACTCGAGGAGCACGGGAATTCTGCTGCACTCCCATGTCAAAGCAGCACACATCCCTCCTCCCCCCCCCCTCTTGCTTACAGATAATAACTGGATCTAGTTAAACCCTGATTGTTAATTGCTAATTACTCCTCGTATATGAGAAGCCAGGAGAGCGTAGCTAAGCTGATCAAATGAGTCTTCGCTCTGGAGCTTGTAGGTTTTCCCGTTTTGTCTCGTCCTCGTGTTGTTGGGGCGTTCTGGATGGGCTTGTTTTCGATGGCTTTTGACAAGATAAAGACAGATTTTTGTCCAAGAGGGGGAAAGCGAGGATTTAAACCTTTCATGGGTTAACCAAAGCACATCCCGCAGGTGTTTTTTCTCTGGAATACTGCTCTCGGTACCTCTGCGTTTGGCCTTGGTTCAATGTGCATGACTGTCGTAAAAGATGAGACTCAATTTGCTTAAAAATACTCAAACTGGCACCCTGTGTTTCCTCGGCTGATAGAGGATTCCGAGCTATAAAGGAGTTTTCAAAGGTAATGTTTGGCGGCATTCACTCATTTACAAAGCATTATCTCAGAATCACTTCATTATCAGATGGTTTTGTCAAATGCAAAAAGCAGCATTAAGATCAGTCATGCTGGGTGGATTATTTCAGGCTGTTTACTCACTTTAATTTACTCCCCTCGCTCTGCGGCCTTCCTCGAGCCTCTCACCCCCAGATTCCCCCCGCTCTCCATCCCCCCCACCTCCCTCCCATCCTCCACCAGCTACCTGAGGAGCTGTCAGTCTGGATTGCTGCGCTGTCGGTTCAGCCTGTCAGGCTGAGGGACGCGTTCTGATCAGCCGTGGACACTGATAGACCTGTCAGGTGAGATGACAGCTGCAAGTGAAGACGCACACAGACAGGTACATGTAATGTGACAAGACTCCTTCATCCCTCCACCGCTGTAGCCGCCACCCTCTCCCGCTTACCTCCCCATCTCTTGCCCCCCCCCCTCCCTCTCTTCCGAAAAATAAATATCCATAAGTTGGAAGAGTGCACAAGGGATGAGCATGTTTCCTGACGAGTTGAGGGAAAGTTTTCTTTTGAGCCTGAGCCGATGTGATGCAGCCACGTGATGAAGCCCGGCCCAGGCATCAGTTTGGTATCATGTCAACTTGCAGTTTAAATGTTATTTCTGTACATGATTTGCATGAAAGTCAGTTTAAACCTTTTCTGTCCATCTTATTAACATTTTCTAATAACGTTTGTGCTACTGAA